ACATTATTTCATCTACTCAAGTTTATTGATAAGCAATCAAGTAAATTTTACTGACGAAGGAAGGTCCCCAAGTGTAACTCGTCAATCAAACTACTATGTTATCCATAAGTAGACCCTAATGAAACTAGTCGAAGTCTATAAGAGTTCATCTTCATGTACTATCTTTTCCAAGTTGTTATAAATTTAATGATTTTTTTAAATCTCTGACAAGGTATTAGTGAAAAAAATCAAATTATGGAATCTCAACTTGAGATTGTGCTCATAGGTAGACCTCGTGAACATTAGAATGTCCACGAGATCTACCTATAGGCAAAATTTCAGGTTGAAATATCATAATTCGATTTTTTCCCTAATGTCTTGTTAGCGATAAAAAAATTCAGTAAAATTCTAATAGCTTGGGAAGAACGCGGGCATGATGACGCACCCTTATAGTCTGCTACTAGTCTCATTGAAGCTTACTTATGAACACAATATCAGCTCGATACACGAGTCACACTTAAGTAACTTCTCTCGTAAGAGAAAAATTTCAAAGAACAGAATTTCAACTTCAACAGAAAAGTAAAAAACTTACAAAATGTGTAGTTATACTACGTCTAATTCAAACTTCGAAAAAGATCATATCAGAAATTCATAAAATAGAAAAAAAAGTCTTGACTATAAATTCTTTTCTTTTAAATGCAAAATTTTTTCTTTTTTAGCTATCTATTTATTTCTAACTTCTTCAAATGATGAATATCTTATGTACATATAAATTATAATTTTCTATTAAACTTACCAAGTACAATGATGATCAAATTTTACTACACATGTTCTATCCACAGGACAATGTTTTGATCTTAATGGTCGACGTATAAGACAAGTAACACAAAAATGATCTAATGTCCATCTTGGATCACGTGCAAATGCAATACAAATTTTTTCTTTTGTTAAATTATTTCCCTCAATAGTCATTGTTTGTTGTTTTAAAAATCCTGGATTTAATTTTTTACAACAATGTACACAATAAAGACCATAAAGTGTTGATAAATGATAAATAAAATCTATTATTGTAAATCTACTTTCTTGTATATAAATCCAATAAGTAACATACTTTAATAATGATGATGATAGCACATATGAAAATGCAAAATTATCTTTAGTATAGGTATCAAATACAAAATAATTAAATAAATGTCCACAACCAAAAATAATAACAATTGGAAATATAATACGTATCCAATAATTAAATTCATATTCATTAACTGATAAACCAATTAATGTCATAACAAATAACATAAAAAATCTTGTTAACCATCTTCGATTATATTCATTTGTAAAAAAACGTTGTAAAAATTTTGGTTTTATATTTACTTTACTTGATTCTATACGGTCATCAAGGATACTAGCAGCATCTAAGTTTCGTCGAATACGTGCACAAATTGCTGGATCTAAATTATCATTATTTTTTAAATGAATATTTATGCGTGGACTTTTTAATAGAGCATCAAAACTTATTGAATTTTGACTATTTATTGAAAAATGTAATGGAGAAAATTGACGTGTTGGTTCTTGATAATTAACATCTGCACCAAATGTTAAAAGAAATTGTGTACAACAAACATGTGATGAATTTGGCAATGGAACATAATTTGCTGATGGACCAATACATGAATATATTAATGGTGTAAAATCTCGTCCATCATGACAATCAACATCAATACCAGAACCAAGTAAATAAGCAAGAATTTTTATTTGACCATATTGAGCTGCAAGATGAATTGGTTGAACACCATTTATATCAAGTGAGTCAATTGCTGCTCCATTATCAACAAGAAGAAAGAAGGTTTCGACACAACCTTGTCGACCTATACATATATATGACAACAGAATATACTATGTTTATACTGAAAGTAATGATAATGATAGAAAAAAAATTATTCAGAATGAGTTAGACTCCGTCGGGTTCAAAATTTCCAGGCTCGAACCCGACAATGGAGTCCATCAAGTCCAAGAATTTTCGAACCCGAATCTGGACCCAACCGATAAAATTTTTTTAGACCTGAAATCGAACTCGAACTCGATCGATCAAAATTTTGGTATCGTTTACAAGATCTTATATAAAAAAAAACTAAATAAATTTAAAAAACTCATAGTCAGTTCATAAAAATCATTATAAGAAAAAACTTATACTTCCTAATCGGTAATTATAAAATATTTAACTATATATATCTGAACTTTGTTATTATTTTTATAGAATGAATTAGAGAGCAATTATCGAAAGGTGATGTCAAGTTCTTTGAAAATAGATTGTGATTTATTACATACTATCATCTAATAAAAAAATTAATTTGACCTGATGATGTTAACTATAATTTGAAATTAAAATTTTATAATAATTTAATAACATTGTTTGCTTAATTGTATATAATTTTCTAAGAAAAAATTCTGTGAACTAATTGCAACAGCTACACTAATACTACAAAGGTATTTATAGTCATTATATACATTTTTTTTTCTACAGAAAAAATTACTCGGAATGTAAACTTGTCATTAATGCTTAACAGACTTTATTCCTTATAAATTGAAAACAAACATGAGAATGCCAAGCGCAACCGGTAGATGCTTCCCTTGAATTCGTGGCTATATAATTTATTCTCTCTCGAATCTGTCTATAGGAGAATGAAAACTATTTCTCGACAATATTGATTTGATTATAAATGAAAATTCTACATACATGCCCAATGTAATGGTGTTGATTTGAGATCACCGCCTACAATATCCACTTTTGCACCTTTTGCAATTAAATATCTTACTAATTCTACATGATTATTAATTGATGCCCAATGCATTAAATAACATCCCTCATTATCCGGTACATCCACATCAGCTTGGCCTGATTCAATCAATTGTTTAACTCGTTCTATTTCATTATATTGTACAGCTTGAACAATATTCATTTCTGCAGGATCTAGTTTTGGAGGTGCATCAGGTACAGGTTGAGAAAAATGCATTTGTGAATTAGAATGTGCACACGACGAAGAATGAGTATGCGAATGTCCATGTCCATGTCCATGTCCATTTGAATTAGTATTAGAAGCAGCAACAGCAGTCAATAAATGCTCATATGCTGTTTCTGTTAAATCAGAACGCATTGCTTGAAGACGAGCATACATTTGTGGATTTTTTTGTTGTAACTGAGCAAGCATTGCTGCAGAATCTTGTGGTGATAATGATGGACGAATTTGATCGTTATTCATGATGGTTTCTTTCTTTTTTTTTTTAACTGTCGATCGTTCGTTTAGGTAGTTATTGTATCGTTGTCATCGTCATTTTTTCGCCGTTGCTACAATCAGAATCTATAAACTCGCACAGAAAAGAAAAAAAAAAGATTTGACAAAATTGTTTTATATTGCTCTAATCATAGAAGCGAATGATCTTCCTTGGCAACAAGAAGTGAGTCATTGAATATTATCAAAATAATCATAATATATTATTTTTATTTTCATATATTATGATAAATAATTATGAATAAACAAATATAATATCTTATTATATTGAAAAAAAAATATTAGTTTTATTTGTCAGCAAAATTTCATTGGTTTTTAGACAAACCAATCGACGTGTTGAACTCAACGTCGAAGAATGAAAGATAATAATTTATTCTTTTTTTTAGTACTAATTCATATAGATCTTTCATATATGTCTATCGTGGGTGTTTTTTGATACAATTGGTTTGATTGCCGGTCTGTACAAAAAATTTAAGTGTCTTCATGTGCTATTTTGTTAAAATTTGAGAACAAGTAGAAGATACAGATTACAAATGTGCTTAATTGCCTAATAAACAAAATTTATATATAGTGGATAATGTAACGCAAAATAATAATATAAAATGATCACAATAACCATATAGAAATAGTCGATTTATAAATGAATGAAAAATTGATTTATTTGTAACTAAAAGTTTGTTTTTCTATAAGATAAATCGTCATTTCACAAACAATTTTATTGCTAGCCATCGAGCTATTCCTATCAAGTCTCGATTAGAGAGTTCGTCCGATAGATCTTGAACTGACCGATGAGTTCTATTCTAAAAGTATGAGTCAATAAATATATTGACAAGGAAACCACTCGAGGCAATACCTTGCATTTGAGATGAGACTACAGTCATTACGTAGGACCTCTTGAGACTAGAAGCATTCTTCCCTATGTGCTGTTCTCTTATAGTTATGACCGTTACACTGAATTTTTTTTACCTGTCGCACGATATTTATAAAAGAATCAGATAAACGAATATTGACCGACAACTTTGTCTATAGACAGTTTTTGAAGTCACTAGAATCTTCTGAAAATTTCAGCGATAAAAAGTGATCTCTTCTCGAGATATCAAATCCACAAAAAAAACCTAGATTTCCGTTTTTTGGTAGAATACTATGGTTTTTTGTGAATTTGATATCTTGAGAAGAGACCCCTTTTTTTCGCTGAAATTTTTAGCAGATTTTAATGACTCCGAGAGCTGTCTATAAGCAGTTTCCGGTCAAAATTCGTTTGTCTGGTTTGTTTATAAATTTCGTGCCAAAGATAAAAAATTCAGTGTAATGGCCATAACTCTAAAAGAGCAATACATAGGGAAGAATCTTTCTAGGTTTCTTCTAGTCTCGAGAGGCCCTAACTAAGGACTGAGATGTCATCTCAAATGCAAGGCATCGTCTCGAGTGGTTCCCTCGCAAGATCATTATTGAGATTACTCGAGAAATGTTAAGCTATGCTAGGTGCTGAATAACAATAATAAAAAAAAAGCATCTCATATCTTCGGAGTAGCATTCATTAAATAGGAATAGTTGTTGAACCGATCGAAAAGTATACATTTCATAAGAGAATATGTATTTACTTGAATTTATTATGTTTTTTTTTAAATATTAGAAGAATATTTAACATAAGTTATTTCTTATCAAAAAAACAATTTTCTTTTTCGTAGTTATACAAATATATTTCTGTTTTCTTAAATTATAGATAATATCATAATGGATATATTAGGTTTAGGATCAAAAGTTGATGCAGATTTTATACTTGATCCTCAAGGTCAACGAAAGCAGATTGATGTTAAAATTGATGATACGAAACGATCATCACAATATATTTATTATGATGGTGAAGATGTTAGTGGAACGGTAAAAATAAAATATATTAAATAAAAATTTAATAATTTTATTAGAAATTTATTTAGGTACAAATTAAATTAAAGAAAAATAGTAAAGTAGAACATCAAGGAATTCGATTGGAATTTATTGGACAAATTGGTCAGTATTATTTCAAGCGAGTTTTTTCCTTCTTGTATGATCGCTAGTTGATCATGTCTGAGATAGATTTCATATTAACGAAAAAGAATTGAAATTAGAATTATTTGAGAATGTATAAAATACAAGCTAACAATATTTTACTATTCTATGAAAACAAATAGCAAAATCTAACGAATAGTGTATAAAACAATGACTCTTTCGAGATTTTTCGAATAATCTAATCATCTTTTCATCTAGTTCAGTAGGTTTTTTTCCCAGATGCAATAAATGATTCGCTTAATCACTATAATTTTCAAAACATAACTTTTTCGTACAACTATATGCTGTTTATTATTTAAATTTTGCTTGATTTAGGTTCATCTCATACAATATAGTCTGATAGGTTTAAATCGAGATTAATAAATAACTAATGATTTATACAGATAAATAATGCATTAAAAAATTAACACAACAGTAATGTAAAGGGTATTTTACATTATTCATCTCTAAAGATAATTCACTTTTCAATAAACCAAATTCGAAATTACTGCAAAAATTTAGACAAATAGAAATGAATAGTTTTGTATAGAATTGATAGGTGATTCTTTTGTTTAAAAAAATATTTTTATAGTTGAAGGAAGTATTTAGACTATTCGAGGAATATTAAAAATGTTATTCTTTATACGCCACTGGTTAAAACTAAATTCGAACATCAAGAACATAATAAAACTTTGATCAGTTTAGTTTTTCTTGTCTTTTCAGAAGACTCCCTTTTAGACTGTAAGCGTTTGTTTGGTTTTAATTGCTAATACTTGTGTTTAACAAGCAATATACATTTGAAAAGCTCCTTTCGATATAATTTATTACTCCCAAATAAAAAAAGATGTTACATCTGTAATAATAATATCTTGATTAAATTATAATTTGTTTTCAGAGATGCTGAATGATCGTAGTACGATTCATGAGTTTATAAATCTATCAAAATTACTTGGATTTCCAGGTGAATTAACTGATAGTACATCAATAGATTTTAATTTTGGAAATGTTGAAAAACCATATGAATCGTATAATGGTATTAATATTAAATTAAGGTAATTAATTTTCATGGAAACAAAAAAAAACCCAAAGAAATAATAAAAATAAAAATTCTTATAGATATTTTCTTCGTTTAACAATTATAAAACGTTTTTCTAATAATGTTTTTGAACGTGATATATGTGTTCAACAATTATCACAATATCCTGAAATAAATAATAGTATTAAAATGGAAGTTGGTATTGAAGATTGTTTACATATTGAATTTGAATATAATAAATCCAAATATCATTTAAAAGATGTTGTTGTTGGAAAAATATATTTTTTACTTGTTCGTATTAAAATTAAACATATGGAAATAGCTATTATAAAAAAAGAAAATACAGGTACGGGACCAAATATTTATGCTGAAAATGAAACTATTGCAAAATATGAAATCATGGACGGTGCACCAGTTCGAGGTAAAGAGAAGCAAAGAAAAAAACTTTTTTTTTTGTTTTTGTCAATAAAAAATTTTATTTAGGTGAAAGCATTCCAATACGTTTATTCTTGGCTGGTTATGAATTAACACCAACAATGAAAGATGTTCAAAGAAAATTTTCTGTTCGATATTTTCTTAATCTTGTTTTAGTTGATGAAGAAGAACGACGTTATTTTAAACAACAAGTCATTGAGATTTCTTTTTGAAAAAAAAGAAAGAAAAATAATTTTTTTTTCGTTTAGGAAATTTTTCTTTGGAGAAAACAAGATAAAGATAAAGATAAAACAAAACAATCAGCTAAACAATATGCTCATTATCAACGACCTACTCCAGCTAATCAATCCGAAGAAAATCCGACTGAAAATTCATCAGTTAATGAAGTTTTATCATCGGAGAATAATAGCGATATACCCAGTGATTGATAATTAACATTGATAATATTTATAAAATAAACTATTCATTCCATATGCATAGATTTGATGCATTTATTTCGATTATTCAATTTTTTTTTCTCTTGTCTTTCCATATTTTGTTTTCTTACAAGTTTTATTATTATGATTCGCATGAGTGTGAAAAATACTTCTATTTGATATGTAATTCATCTCTTATGACATATTGAGCTGAGTAACAAACATTTCTTGACCTAGTCGATAATTAATAATTGATTGTCGTTTGGCGTGTTTTTCTTTTTCTTAATATGCATATGTACTTTTTCAAATTTTATCTTCTAATAACACAAAAAAAGAAAAAAACCTAGGGAAGAAAATTTTTCATTGTAATTCTAATTCGAATGTTTCTTGCAGACTAATGGTCGAACATAATTCCGATGGATTATTTTCATGTAAATTATGTCCTGAAGAAACAAAAAAATCATTCTGTATAGCAAATTGTATTGGATGTAAAGATTTATTTTGTTTTGTTCATTTAATTCAACATCGTCAAGAATTATCAAATGAATTCGATGAATTAATTAAACAACATCAAGCTACGAATGAAATATCAATGAGCAAATTAAAAATAAATGAACATTTGGAATATATTGATAAATGGGAATATGAAATAATTGAATTAATACATCAACATACAAAAGATGTTAAAGAAAAAATTCTATGTATATTTAATGTATATAAATCTGAATTAAAACGACGTCATACAAATCTTGGAAAAGAACTTAATGATAAACGAAATTTAAATGCATTTATTGAAAGTGATCTTAAAGAATTATCACGACAAATGGAACAATTAGATAAAGATATTCAAAATATTAATAAAGTATTAAATCAAGTAAGTATCAATGAATTAAATCAGATAGTCAACAAATACAATCAATCAGTAAATACTATAGGTAAAAAAAATTTTCATTGATATAAAAGGATCTTTAAGAATTTCGTTTTCTTGTTTTTTTATTATAAAGAAAAATCAATAAAATGGAACTATTTACGTGACATAAAACTGGATTCGACATATGGTTATATGGCAGCTAACGATCAACAAATATTTCTTGGTTGGAAAAATCGTATTGTTATTTATAATATTGATGGTACAAAACATGATGAAACACGTTTACAATCAGTTGAAACATATGGTGAATTATGTGATTTAATATATTCATCAACAATGGAATGTTTTTTTATTTTATGTCGAAAATCCTTATTTGTTCATCATCCATTAAGTAATCAAATTGAACTTTTACCATATATAACATTAATTAATCATAATAATCATTATATATCAATAACAACAAATAACAATAAATTATTGTTATTAAATGAAGAATCTCTTGATGTATGGAGATTAAATAATAAAATATTTTTATTAGATTATTCAATATTAATAAAATTGATTATTAAAAATCAATTAGATGAAAATATTTGTTGTATACGTACAAATGAACAAAATTTAGCTATACTTATACAAAATAATAAAACACATACATGGCGTTTAGATTTATTTAATATATATCCATTTCAATGTATTCATATGGGTACTTCATTTGATTATTTTAATCAACCAAATCTTGGTTTATTTATGCCATTAGATAATAAAATTTATCTATTTATGAATTGGGAAACAAAATTAATGCGAATGATAGATTCGAATAGTTTGAATCAAATTATTGATTATAATGCATTTAATGCATGTTTATTAGGTACTCAACATAAACTTATTGTGAATTATATGACGCATTTAAAAATCTATGAATTTTGAAGGGTGATAAATTTGTTTTTGTCAAACTGAGTTTTGGATTATTTTGATATTTGAAATACTATTGATTTTTTGTTATCAATTGTTAACTTCTTTTGTTATGGATAATTTCTATATTTGATCTTTCTAGATGAGTACAACTAATAATAATAATAAACGTGTTAATCATTTAGTTGTCGATTCAAGTGCATTCATTAGACAAGCACCATTACATGTATGTTTAATAATTTTAAAAGATTCTTAACTAGATTTTTATTATGATAAAACTATTAAAGACTTAGAAGAAAGTATTCAGATTGATTACAAATCATTTTAAAGAATTTTTTACAATTAAAATAGTTTTTATTTTCATATAATGTAACTAAATGATATATGCCAATAGAGTTTTAATATTGTCTGAGACATGAAAACAATTGGACTAACTATATTGATACGTACGAGAGAAATATCCGTCACATTTCTGAATATTTGTCTTCACGCTTTGAGTACGAATCGATTTCGTTGAGATTAAGAAAATCCTAAGAGTTTTTGTGTTCATGACTTTGTTTCCTCTCGAGATATGATCAAATCTCTGTGTCTAAAATAGAGCTGCCAACGGATCACTTTTTTTTTTACCTGTCTTAGCCTTCAGACACATGTTAAATCAAAATAGTTTAATGAATTTAATTACTCAATTCATGCTCTTTTCGTCTGAAAAGAAGTTAAACTGTATTTATAACTAATCTTCCTTTTTTTTTCTCTTCTATTTATTGCTCTACCTATTGTAATGTACTTTGGAGTCATTCCAATTATTTGCCTTCAAAATTCGTTGGAATACTTCTCAGTCTATAGCAAAACCTAACATTCGAAATGGACTACAACATTAATTTTAAGTAGACTTTGATCAGACCAAACATTTTAGCCTGGTTTGATCTAAAAAATATTGGATCTTTATCATTTTGTTTTTGAAGTACCGTTTTTGTATCAGATAAGTGACTTGGCTTCTACTGTTGAGCTCCTTTTCTATGAAGAAAATCGGATCATCAGCTCTTTCTACATGAGCTGATTTTTTCTCAAACACCTCATTTTATCCGATTGATTGAGACCTACGATAGTTCTGTTTAGGATAGGCAACCTAAACTATAAAGTTAAGCTGAAATAGAGTTGTTCTAAGTCTATTAGAATTTAAAAGGATGTGTTCAGAAACCCAGCTTTGATAACAAACAGTTTATCTCTAGACCTTGTTCAATTGAGAAGAACTGATTACCAATCATTTTCATTCAGTTCTTACAAATCATTGAACTATGATCTATCACACATCTATTCTCTCTTATTCAAGAGATTTCAACTATTAAGTATGTCGAAGAAACTTAATCACAGGCATGAACGCTGTTAGAGTTTTCTCAGTTTCATAGAAATCTTCTTGTGATGGAAATATAAAATCAAAAGCTTGAAAATTGTTATGTTATTAATTGTGTACCCTTTCTTCATAGTAAATCTCAAAATCTGAAGGCATATATACTGCAGAAGAATAGAATTTTCAAAACTATGAAAATTATTAATAAAGAGATCTTATTGAATGAATAATATTTAGAATTTGACTGATGTTGTTTATACGGTCGAAGATGTTGTCAACGAAATACGTGATATTAAAACACGTGAATCACTCAATGTAGTTCTTTATACATTGAAATTTAAAGAACCAAGTGTTGATGCAATCCGTTTTGGTAAGATAATTTGTTTTCTTTTTTTTTTATTTCATTATATTTTCAATATATCATTATTTTTTTTTGTCTATATATCTTAGTAACAAATTATGCAAAGAAAACAGGTGATTATGCATTTTTATCAGCAGTTGATCTTCGATTATTAGCATTAACTTATCAACTTTATCAAGAAATAGTTGGTACAGAAAATTTAAATTTAGAACCGAAAATAAATGTAAGTTTATAAAGAAAAAACTTTAAAAGAAAAAAAATTAATATATATCTAAATATAGACTACTATACCCAATTCATCAGTATCATTTGGTAATGCTGGTGTCAAATTAGCTGGTTTTATTTTTCCAAAGAATGAAGTATATGATCAAATAATTTAAATGGATAAGTTACATTTATTTGATTTCGTTTACAGGAAAAAAATGATGATCAAAATTCGGACAAACCAACAACAGAAAATCAAATTGAAAAAGAAGATGAAATAATAGAAAATAATAATGAAGAAGAAGAAGAAGATAATGATGATGACGATGTTCAATCATTTGTTACAGCAGTTGAAAATGAAAATGATATTACAGAATCAATAAATGATCTTCATCTTGGTCATGATGATGATGGTAAGAAACTTAACATTGATATTTTTATTTGAACATTTTTTTTTTTGATATTTATAAAGGTTGGATAACTCCATCAAATATTAAAACTGTCAAATCAAAAGCTTTAGACAATGGAACATCAGAAAATAGTGAAACAATACAGGAAACTCTACCTGTTGCTTGTATTACTACTGATTTTTCGATGCAGGTATTTATTTTTAATCTAAGGCTTTATATTTTATTAAAACTTTGTTTTTCTTTTCGAAAAGAATGTTCTCATTCAAATGGGTATTCCTGTTCTTTCTGTTGATGGTCTTCTCATTCGAACAGCTCGTAGTTATGTATTAAAATGTCGTGTTTGTCCAGGGTAAAAATTATAATCATGTAGAAATTCTTATTTCTAAAAAACAAATAATACATTTATATATAGTGTTACTCGTCAAATGACTAAACAATTCTGTCCTGAATGCGGTAATCCATCTCTACAACGTGCCAGTGTTAGTATTGATTCATCCGGTCAACGGCATTATTATTTAACTGGTCGTTATCGACAAAAACCTCGTGTATGTAGACAGACTTAAAATAAATGATAATATCATAAATAATTTCACTTTAGCAATCATTACCATTGCCTCGTGGTGGTAAACATTCAAATAATCCAATACGTGTCGAAGGTCAACCACGACCACAAAATCGACCAACAAAAAAATCATTGATGAAACGAAATGTACTCGATGATGATTATCTTGCTGGTTCTTCACCATTTGGTGTTCACGATATTTATAGTCGTGCAGCAACACTCGGTATTAAACCAACAAGACGATAATTTACAAGAAGAATTTTCTTTTCTGCTTTTTTTTTCGTTTGTTTTGTTTGTCACTTTGTTTTCATATATATGTGACTAGCGAAAGAAAGAGAAAAGAAAAATAATTAATGATGAACCATGCTTTTATATATTTGATATGATAAACAATAGAAAGAATGAAAGAGAAAGAAAGTAAGGGGCAAACTTTATAGACGTATATAATCTTCTTTTTCTTCCATCTATTATCTATAAAACAAGTTTGCCGATGTATCTATTTCATACGTCTGTCAGATAGGTTAAGTGAACAAGTAAGTTCATATGATTCATTCATTATTTATTTATTTATAATTGATAGTGTCCGATTTTGATCAGTCAAAGATGTTGGATATAAGTCCAACACTATTGACACGTGATTTTATCGGTCTATGTATTGGTATTCTTTCTGTTGTGCTTGTCGTTCTTGTCGTAGCTATATGCAAATGGTCTCACTGTTTATGTTTAAAACGTCATAATGATAATGATGATCAAAATGAAGTATTATCATCTATTATACAACAAAATACATCAACATCAGATTCAAACTTACGCCGTTATTATCAAAATGATCCTTATCATGTTCATCCATCCCAACCCCAACCCCAACAACAATGGTCATCATTTTATCATAATCATCCTAGTAATGTTCATCAACATATAAGTAATGCTAGAGATGATTTTATCTCACCATTACAATCGGGTAATAATAGATATCGTTTAAATGATATTAAAGTACCTCGTGTTACAATAACAACATTACCAATACAACCTTCTCAACAACGTGTTCCATGTCTTTCGATGAGTCCACAAATATCCGGCTCATCGATTACACGCAGTACAAATTCGCTTAGATAGTAACTTTTAAACACTTTATACTTTTTTTTCTCTTTTTTTGTATCTTTTTTTCGTCCTTTTTCTTTGAACAGAAAAAGATTTTATATAAAGAAAAATGTTTTATTTTTATCCTAATAAGAATAGGCAACAGATAAAGTTTTATTTACATAGCGACTAAATTGTTGTGTTTGTTTGTTTCACACTGTCAAAATCTAAAACTAGATAAGTAATTTTTAAAAGATTCAATTCAACAAGAGAATAGTTCACGTTTATAAATGATCAATGTCAATAGTTGCTCATTTTTCATCTGATTTTGACATATATTACGGAATGAAATAAAAGAATTAGATGTTTATCTTTGATTACTCTTGTTTAACATCTAACAGTAGTATATTACTTGATATCTTGATCAATCTATCATATTTATAGATCGAAAAATTTATGAATCAATATATCCATGTCGACTAATTGATGAAAACTATTTACTCTACATATTTTTGTCTACCTTATCAATATTAATTGTCATACGATTTAGTCATTGAGAATAAAATAAAGTTAATTGCACAATTTTCAAAGAAATATTGTTGTGAATCGATCCAATACTATGATTAGAATTGTCACGATAACAATGAAATTTATGGTATTTACAAATTTATTGAACGTTTTTAGATTGATTTTTTGTAAATGTAAACCTTGATGGTCAAGAGCATATCCGATTATATCAGTCGGGTACCTACTTCAATAAAATAACATTATCTTCGATAATATGACTAGTATTTTCGATTAGTCATTTATACACGATAACTGTCAAAGTCTTCTGCAACTCCAAAACTATTATCAACAACCGGAGATAAATATTTTGTTTGAACTTTGTGTGATATGCACTTTTTGATAGTTCTCATCACGTTAATACTAATACGGTGTTTTCTACATTACACAAAAAAACAAAAACACGAATAGGATTCAGAATAAAATATTATATGGTAAACTACAGATGTGTAGCATATTCTCGGCGAAGATGATCATATCGCACGTGCGGGCTGTTCGTGCCGTCTCTCTTCTTATATATTCACCGGGTGTGGCTGTTGCTGAATGAAAGTCTCACATCCACATTCCATTTTATAAAAAGTAACGAAATCATTGAGAGCGATATGCCGTTATCATGATTGTTTCTATAATAGGTATCACGGGTTATCATTCATGAGTGAATACGAAAATTGAGAGAATGTGCGAATATATCCTAGAGGATCACTATACAATTGCAATAAAGTTTATCTGTTTTACTGACCAAAAATGCATAATATTCAATTTTTGGAGACGTTTATTCTTCTTTTTTTGTGTAGGCTACATGAACCATTATTTATGTGATCATTTAATTTTTATTCTAAATATGTCATGTCAGACGAACTACAGCTGGGCAGCTCAACTCAGTCACATTAAAAAACTGTAGTGAATACAGGCCGGTTTCGACCGGAAACCTCGGGAAAGTTATAGAAACTTTGGATCAGGAACTCAATGCTCTGGGTCCAATGGCCGGCTCTGCCCTGCTGTGGTCGTTTTCAACTGGAATAAGAAGAATCTGTCACACCAGATTCGATCACTGGATTCCTGCTTCCAAGTTTCTACCATTTTCTCGAATTTTCGGGCTAGAAATCTATAAATTGTGGTCCCAGAATAATTGAACGGGTAAGAAAGAGTTTTATTGTTGTTCATCATATGAAAGAATTTCGTTTCCTTCGCGTCACAATATAATTAGGATTATTTACTATAGAATACTTGGAAGTTGCGACAGAGGGCGCTTCTATCAGTTTCATTTGTATTTTACAAAACTGATCGAACACTGAAATTTATCTATCATCAAATTTAATTTTATCTCTATAAGAGAAACAACTCTCACAAATATATATATATACAATTGACTTTTTTTGTCCATGTATATGATGACTGGTTATTTTATATAACAAATCGAATAGTTTCTAAAGTTTATCTTTGTTCGTATTGTATAAGAATAACTCTGAATTAAAGTAGAATTTCAAACTTTTGTAAAACTATTTCATCCTTCTTATTTCACAAATAATCTATCGGAATCAAAAATAAATAATTCCATTTCAATGAATGATCAATTAGCTACACTTATAACACAACTTAAAGAACGTCGAGCATTAACACATCAAGAAAGAATCAAATCATTAGATATTCGTGATGAAATCTGGCGAAAATGTAATATTTTCTAATTTTTTTAAATTTTATGAAACATTATTTTTTTTTTCTTCAGACGTCGAACTTAACAAAGGTTCATCATTTGATGCAATCGCTGCTCAACGTACTGGCTTATGTCAAGATATGTGTTGTGAACGAGAACGAATTACACGTGAATTTCAACGTTTATCTAAATCATATGAACTTGATCCAGATACACGATCTGTATGTACAATTAAAAAAATAAGACTATCTATTTTCTCTAACAATCAAAATACTTTTTTTTTCAGCTAAATTATTCACTTATGGTTACTGAATATTCACGAGCATCGGCTGATCAAGTTTGTTGATATGATCTTGGGTTTCTTTTTTCTAAAAAAGATTTTGATTATTTTTAATATAGGCTATGCCAACACCATATGATCTTCGTTCAGGTCCTGCTTTATTACATACAATGAATTATTTAATAACAAATATAATGGATAAATTTGATCAAGAACGTGAACAAGGTGATTGGTATAATTTTTTATGGGATCGTTTACGAGCTATTCGAAAAGTAAATTTATTTATTAAAATTTTTATCAATTAATTATTTATTTTATAATCTTAGGAATTAACTCAACAACATTTACGTGATGAAATAGCTATTGAAATTCTTGAACAATGTGCACGTTTTCATATATTTTGTTCAGCATTTTTATCAGAATATTCACGTGATTTATTTGATCCTAAATTAAATGATAAAATGTTAATTGATTGTCTTAATCAATTACGTGAATGTTATTTAACACATAAACAACAAAATAATATTCAATCATTAAGAAATGTTGCTGAATTTTCATCCTATATGTTATTAATGAATTTAAAAGAAGATAATGAAACATTATTGTAAGTATTTACTTTAGGGATTTTTTTCATAGAATTACAAAAAATTGATGCTTAATGTGATATGCACCATTAAGTTTCCATACTGTTAATATGTGAATAATTATACAGTTGAGGGTTATATTGTTAGATTTTACAATTCTTGTCGAGAAAAATTTGAGATAATTACTCGTTCTTTCAATCAGATCTTTGTTTCAACGAGCAAAAAAAATAGAATTTACGAAACTTGACATCCTGAAAAATTTATTGTCATCTTTTAAATCAACAAATATATTCATTCTATAAATTTTGCCGCTTTTTATTCTAACAAAGAAGTCTTTACTTATTAAGAATGCATCAGGATCATAAGACTTATTTTTTATCGATTCGATTCTATTAAATTTGGATTTAATTTCAATTCGAAAATAAAAAGAAAACGATCTTTTTTATTTTCACGGATATCATATACGAGAAATCTCATAATGAGATTTGCAAGATTACTCTATTCTTCCCTGAAGAGTGGAATAGGGTATAGCACTCTACATCGGAGTGATCGTAAAGATTTTTTTTTAGAATCAATGTCGGATTTATATCAGTAAAATAGTCAACGTTTTTCTTTACTCTTACATAGTAACAAGTTTATTTTTCATATGTTAAGTAATAAACAAAAGTACACTACTTTATAGACTCATAGATAAATATTAAGAAAAGCTCTCGAAGTGGAACTCCGCAAGGTTCTAGTCGAAAAGGGTAAGCGTGGAGGTTTTCACGGGTAGGGTGAAGTAACGGTTAGAAGATTTCTCTCAGTCAAGATACAAAGTACGAAAAAAAACCTTAGCCTGTCCATCTCTAACATGAAACTGTTTCAGTATTTATCACTTTTAGAGTGGACCAACTAGAGTAGGATTAAAGGAGAGTGAGATAAAAACTTCGTAGGGTAAGGATTAGTGTATTGCGTTGTGATTGACAATTTTCAAGATCTAAATATGTGAAATAAGTTCGCATTTTTCTTGAAGTCATATGAATTTCATTCAGTTTTCTTACTGCTATAGAACGAGCTGTCAAACTTAAAATGACCATGCTACATAAATGAAAAAAAAAAAAAACTTAATAATTTTCGTGGGCAACAGTTATCATGTTTGGACCATCACGAAGAGATTTTCTCTGCGATGCTACATAATAACCTTGCTATTAATGAATCACTTTGTAGCGGTAAAAAAACTGGATGAAATGCATATAGTACGAAAAAACCATAAATCTATTATACATACTTAGAATCCAAAAAATAATCAATCATGATTAGAGCTCATCGAGTTCAGTCTGGGTCTGAAAATTTTCCGTTAACTGGGTCCGAGTATCAAAAACCTTCAATAAAATGGGCTTGAGTCTAAAACTTTTGAACTCGACGGGCTCTAATCACAATGCGATACAGGAGTAAGGATAAGTGGTTCTACAGGGTAGTGTCGAGATTTTGTAGGATGCAAAAAAAGCTTACTTTGCACGTTTCTAATTTCATTTAGCTTTAGTAAAAATTGAATTATAAACTTAAGTATTTGACGTTATTGTCAATTCGTAACTCAAATTCTAAAATTAGTCGTTTTCATTATCGATGAAAGTTTTTATTCATTCTTAGAACTATTGAACTTTTATACAATAATTTACTTGTAAATTTATTGGCTTTGTTTTTTGCTAATTGAAATATACTAAATATTGATTCTCTTTGTTTGTTTTCTTTAGACGTATTCGTCATTTAATACAAGATATAACTGAAAAATCAGAAATAAATATTGCAATAAATATTTATCGATCATTATTAATAAATAATACAACAAAATTTTTTTCACTTATTGAAAATAATGCTACTTTATTACAATCATGTTTACTACATCGATATTTTAATGTAATACGTTTAAAACGTCTTAATTCACTTATATCATCAGCACGTAATAATGATGAATTTCGTTTATCAGATATAACAGATATTCTTGGAATGGATAATGATGATGAAGCAAAAGATTATCTTGAACAACTTAGATATTCAGTATCAAATACAAATCCACCATGTTTTATTATACCATCAATAGATAATCAAAGTCAACAACAACCAATTAATAAATTATCTCAAAAACTAATTAAATCAAAATATAAAGGAAATTTAAAAGATGTAAGTTTAAAAAAAAATATATCCAAAAATTATTTGATTTATTTTATATAGATTATTACTGGACAGCCGGATGTACCAATTGTTGTTACTGATTTAAATGTTGAAGATAGTTTTGATATTCAAGGATGTTTTATTGGAAAATTACCTATTGATTCAGATAAATTAGGTAAAGAGAAAGAATCCGAACTTATGCGCTCCCGTTATTTAGAAAAAGAAAATTCTTCTTTTCTACATTTTAAATTCTAGCAACACTAATTTCTCGAAAACCATCACCAGAGCAACAACAACAACCGCAACCAAAATCACAACCGTCATTATTTGTTAGACGTCCACCTTCTGAAAGTGCTCTTCGATCAATGGCAGCAGCAACAACAGCAAATACATTTGTATTATAAAATAATTATTTTTTTTCTTTTGTTGTTGAGAAAATCAACATGTAATAATTTTCTAGTTACTTAAACCTCGATCAACACCATCAGAAAATATTTTCGTTACTGCTACAACAACAATACCAACGCCATCACCATTTCGTTTTGGAGGATTTAATTCAAATTCAACATCAGTTCAATCTACACTGTAAATTAATAAAATTCTTGTGTTTCTTTTTTTTCTATTGATAAACTTTCTTTTTTTAAAGTTCTACAAATCCTTTTGTTCAACCATCTTTACCAAAAAAAATATTCGATACAACATCACAATTTCCATCTTCATCTAAATCAATATTTTCAGGTGCAAATCAAGCGACAAAAGTTATTGAACATTTACCATCACCTGTCGAAATTATTCGACCATCTATTCCTATTTCAAAACCATTACCTCAAACGCCTGAACAAATAATACAATCACCACCACCACCACCGCCTAGTCGTCGATTATCAACCCATTCAATGGATATATTTATTGATGAGTTATATCAACAAATGATTGATCCATTAACTCAAGAAACAATTTGTAATATCTTTGAGTAAGATTAAAAAAAAAAGAATTTTATGACTTTGATTCAATTCCTAAATAATGTATAGTTTCGATTTCGCTCATAAATTTTAGATTTGATCTTTGATGCCCACGAGGAAAAATTACAAATCTGCTAATAGTTTTTCAATTATTTAAAAAATTTTATTTCTTACTTTAACATTACTGTTCGACTATCAAATGATATTTGTTTATAAGAAAAGACTAATTATGAGTTTCCGATCAAACAGAAAACAAAAATTAAAATCAATCTGAAAATTTTTAAATCTTAGTTTCGGATACAGTTGTCAGTTTTTCTCGTTATTTTTAATAGTCAAAAGTAAAATATTCGCTTTCATTGTTTACATTCAAGAAAGAATCTTTTTGGAAAATAAAACATTTTTCTCGTTTCTAGCGTTTCTTTTACTCTTATATTCTATCGCCAAAGAGTTCTGATTGAACGATTAATTCAAACACAAATTACAAACATTTTGAGTTTATTCCACCGTTATCTCATATGATCTAATTCAAAAAAATACAAATCGATCTCATCTAAATTTGATACAATAATATATCTGTTAACTTGCCTATAAATTTTGACTCGGATTGATTTGAAGTTTTTACGATAAGAACCATCGCATAGTAGTCGGTCGCGAGTTGCTTTCTAGGCATATAACTCCAAATCGCTATATTGTATTGCGCAGTTGTCGTACGATTTTCGTTCAAACATTACTACAAGGTTTCATGCTCTGTTCATTCTCAATTTATTCCACAAAATGATGATTTTCAAGTGAGAACTTTTCGAAGTAATGAAGACGAGTTTCAGCAGCTAGAGCAAGTGTTCATTAGATCGAATATTATTACCATTTTCTAAAAAATTTTCGTCATATCAAAGATCTTCTTAACATCTACTTTCTATTTCTTTCAGTGACAGAGAATCAGAACGAATTGAAAATTAAAAAGATGAATACAAACTTAGTCGAGAACTCTCGCTCACTAGAGTCTTATAAATTTCGTAAGTTTTTCATACAATATCTATTAATTTTCAATGAATACAAAACTTGGTATATAATTAAATGTGAATTAAACTCATCGTTCTATTTTATACAATATAGAAATATATTTTTTCGGTAATTTTTATATTTCAACCAATTCGAAAGTTTCATACTCTCATAAACGATGAGCCTAGTGTGAGCGTGTGCTTCGCACTATGGGCAGGCTTGTCGATGTTTTTTAAAAATGGGAGGGATTAAAAATTCGGCAGAAAGTGCTTTTATTCTCGGAGCGCTAGAAGTAGTGACCAGGAGAAGAACGAAACCTGCCACCAAACAGTCTCTCCTCCGATCCTATTCACTTCGCAATGATCTTGTCTGCTTATTTTTATTTGACTTTCTGCTAATGAAAGATAAATGGTGTTTCAAAATACGGTTTACATTCAAAGTTACCACAAAGCTACAAAAAAATTCTTAGGAAATCGAATATTTTGGGGAAGAGGAGAAAAACTCTCCTAATTAAGAGCACTGATCATGGGCTTAGCCTATGTTCCATCTGGTTGAAAAATAGATCATTTCGGCTTTAAAATAAAACGCGAATCGATTCCATCTCTGTTATCTAAACAGTAACATACTAAATTTAGTTATACAAAATGATTTTTGATAAGTGCAAGATTTTGAATTACAATGACAGATAGTGAAACTATTCTATTAAAGAGAAACTATTATGATTAGTAATTCAAATTATTCGTTTTCTTTATAGTGAATTAATTTCTCAATGGAATAATATAACAAGTCAAACAGTTACAATTTTTAATGAATTACTTTCTGATGAAATTTATTCTATAGCTGATGATTATTATCATAATGTTGAATTTCATCAAAAAATGTTAAATGATACTTTAGCTGAACAATATGAACGAAAACGAAAAAAATATTTAACAAAAAAATATTTTTCTATATGGTTAGAAAATTCAATTCAAGCAAATGAAGAACGTTTAATACTTAATGAATTACAAATGAAATATCATTTTTTAAATAATGAACAATTAATTGAATTTTTAACTGGTATACAATTAATGACTGAATATGATTTAACATTAGAACAAACAAATGATATATTAAAATATCGACGATATTTAAAACGAAATCGTCTAAAAAAAATACATTTTTTATCAAATTTATTTTTTGAAGAATTTTTAAAAGAAGAATTACATAAAATTGTTATTGAATCTAATCAAGAACTGAATTTACGTAAAAAATTATTAGAAAATGCTCTTAAAAAACAATATATTCAAAAACGTGAACATTATCTTCAATTAAAATATTTTTCTCTTTGGATTTTAAACTATCGTCAACGAAGAAAAATTCGTAAACAACAATTATTATTAAATAATAATAATAATAATAAACGTACAAATCAATTTCTTCAATTACGTAATAATAAAAAATTAAAAGAAAATAATCAACAATATAATACAATAAAAAATTCTTTCGATCAATTAACAACTGATCTTAATCAAATTCAATTATTTATAAATAAACTTAATTCATAAATATATTTGTTTTGTATTTATGTAATGTAAATGATTAGTATTTTTTTTTGTATAATAAAAAAACAAGAATTTTTTCTTTTTGTCAAGTAAAACAAAAACTAACGATGTGCCATTATGTTATTATTTGTAGAATAATGTTTTGGGCAATTCTTTTTCAAATTTTTCTTTATGTCGGTATTATTATATTAGTTGCATATTGGTTATTTCCTTTACATGATAATATTGAGAAATATTTTCAAAATAAAGTTGTGTGGATTACTGGTAAGTAAAAATGAATTTATTAAAATAGTTTATATAGAGATTCAGGAATATCACCAAATAAGACTTTCAATCATAGTACATTCATAAATGGCGAAAGTCTATTATAATTTGACCAATATCCTTCTCCCCCCCCCCCCCCCTGTACTTTTGCCAATGCCACTATGAATTAGATATAGATTTATAAAATTTCTATCGACTACTCTCTAAAAAAATCGTTTTAATACCGAATCTTTTTTCAAGTTAGACAGGAGCTGCGCTCTAAAACAAAGATGTTTTCTGTAAAACCTATTTTTGTCGGTATCCGATAAAACTCTTCGTTTTTAGGATGTGCGAAAAACCTAAAGTGGCTCTTCACCTGGATATACTCTCAGAACCTTTGCTACAAAAATCGTTTTTTAGATTGATTTCGTATTTTGGATAGCGAACTTGTTTTGGTCCCACGGGTCTCGAAAAGGCTTCGTATCAAAGATTGTGAGAGTGTACTCGGATGAAGAACCATTTAAGGTTTTGAAGCCTCTGTCGAACTTAAAAGAGTTCGGTATAAAACCTTTTTTTCTAGAGTGTGTATTGATAAATGTAAGCTATGATATATATACTAGCAATATTAGCTTCAGTCTTCACATGTATTCTATATGAATATTGGTAGGTGACAGCTTGCGGAAGGTCACCCTATTTTCGCCAACATACTTCCTGAAGTTTCGCTAATTGGCAAAACTACAATGGATTTTCACTGTTGATAAATGTTCTGTTGGAGTAATTCCGGCTATATTTCAAATCGTTTGACTAGGTTATCGAAATGAAATTAGTTGAATTAATTCAAATGCAAAAAGAGATATAAATATGTCAGAAGAGTGTTATTTTCTCTGTATTTTTAATCACGAATATTTTATTTATTAAATCAATGGATCAAATTATTTTATTCATTTGACATTAAGCATGCGCCGAACCCGAACGTTCGAGCTCGATCTTGACTACGATCATTTTCCATCAGGTAATAAAAGAAAGAAGGCGTAAGTCAAAAGAGAGGATTTCAGACTTGGCTATGATAGATCTACACAAAGTGTAATAACTGATCTAAACACCGAAGATCTTGAGGCATACTAAAAAAACTCAACAATGTTGAGAAATAATCGAACCCAAACTTGAGGATGCTTTCATAATTGCTCATATACCTCAAGAAACGCTTGGACAAATATCCGACACTGTCTCAACCGATTGGATAATTTCCGAACTCGAACATCGAGTCAGAGTTCGGATTCGATGCATGCCTATTCTACATATAACAAGTTCAGATTATAAGTATTTTGTAAGAAGAAAAAGTATAATCTGATGCTATTAGGTTATCAGATTTGACTTGAATTCTCTAAACTTTCTTTCAATATCAAAATAGAATGGAGACGATAGAGACGCTTTAAATATATCATATACTATTTAGTATTATGTTGAATTACTTAAATGAAACCTATTGGTCTTAAAAAATGCAAGTCTCGAGAACTTCTTTAATGTTGGTAGCCACAGTAAGCATGGTTTTCTTTGAAGATCTTTGTCAGATAAGAGCCTAGTTTCTTTTTAGAAAAAAGTCTATTTTTAATTTGCTGACATTATTGATTGATTTTCGATAAATTCCTAAATTAGAAGCTATGTCATTTATTCTAAACGCCAAAAAACTCAACAAGATTTCTAACATCAAGTAGAACACTAAAAGTTTGATTTCGTAATATTTCAATATAGATTTTCGATAGTTTAAACGAAAAAAAAAATCAAATTTAATACACGTCTATTTCAAATTTGGATCACTAATATCCTAACTGATTATTTTATAGTTATGATCTTTTCTTCTTATGTTAGGAGCATCGTCAGGTATTGGTCGTGAACTAGCCAAAGAATTAGCTCGTCTTTCACCATCTACACGTCTCATTCTATCAGCAAGACGAGAAGGAGAATTGCAAACACTTGCCAATGAACTTCATCTTAATGCTGATCAGTGTCTTGTTTTACCACTCGATCTTGAATTACAATATGATTGTTTCAAATCAAAAGTTGATCTTGTTATCGAACGTTTTGGTCGAATTGATGTCTTAATTAATAATGCTGGTATATCACAACGAAGTTTTATTCGAGATACTGCTTATACAGTTGATTCGCGATTAATGAATATTAATTTTTTGGGTACAATTACATTGAGTAAAACTGTTCTACAGGTAAATTGATTTCTTTAGGAATGTACAATTTCAGTTTATTGGCCGCTGGCTCACAAGGGAACGTTTTCAACTGATCAATCGCTTTCTCATCAAAAGCTAGTAGATTATATGTTATTGACTACGCTGATTCTGAATAGGATGTGGGTGTTGTATGAATTAAAATGACTGTATTTTCTGCAAAAAAAATGATTAGAAGCCGAAAAACTTGCTGTGTTTCAGACTGTTCGATACGTTCTTTTATTTAGATAGATCAAGCATAATTTTCGTCGAAAATTTTTTTAGCGTAGAAAACCAATATATGAAGACCCAATGGGGACTCTCATAATCACATTCGGAATCAGCATGATCGATAACATACAATCAACTAGCTTCTGATGAGAAAGTGATTGATCAACTAAAAAACGTTCCTTCGTCAGCAAAGTTAGTGTACGATATGTATCAATTCGGCCGAAACAAAAAATGTCAAAAGAAAAACTAACGAAAACAAAATCGTTCATCGTATAAAAATGGCAAAGAAATATATACCCTTCAAAAATGTCGAAAGTGTTTCAGATGTCATCAAGTGAGTCTGTGAAGGGTGGGATAGATGTAGGGTAGAACCCATCGAGTTTGGGTCTAAAAATTTTGAGTCGATCGGGTCCGAGCCCAGAAACTTTTGGAGCCGATAGACTGTAGTGTAGAGGTAGGTGGGAAGAGAAGATTGATACCTGTAGGAACACTTATCCAATATAAAGAAACGTATTGTCTTGTCATTAATTTTATTCTTAAATATTTTTCATAGACTATTACCTCATGTTGGTGTGTTTATATGTCTCTCACTTTTTTGTACATAATAAAATATTTCCATTTCGCGGATTGAGAATCCAAAATAAACTTTTTTCAACGCTTTGTCTTTCGTTCAAATTGATGCCATTCTAGTGTACGTTGGAACATACCACTACAGAAAAAAGTATATTTTAATAGAGTTCATATCGCAATATTGCGCTAAATGCAGATGTCAGTGTTGCAGTAAACATTAACACCAATGTAATGAGTGTTTTACACTAACACTGCACATTTTTAAATGTTTTTTTTTGTTCATTTGTTTATATTGAATGTGAACTTTTTAGCATTTCATCGAACGTCAAAAAGGACATTTTGTTGTTGTAACATCAGCAGCAGGTTATGTTGGTTCACCATTACGTTCAACATATGCAGCTGCTAAACATGCTTTACATGGATTTTTTGATGCTCTTCGATTAGAACATGTTCGTGATCATATTGATGTTACTATTGTTTGTCCCGGTTTTGTTCGAACAGACATATCACTAAATGCTTTCGAAGGTTCTGGATTAAAACATGGAAAAATGGATCCCAAAACTGATAAAGGAACTGATCCAACAAAATGTGCATATGATATACTTTGTGGTATTTCTAATAGAGAACATGAAATTTATGTTGGACATATGGCATCGGTTACTATTTATCTTCATCGATTTTTTCCTCGATTACTTTATCATATACTTTTACATACGAAATCAACTTGAAAGAAAAAAAGAGAATAATATATATTATTGTACTTTTTATTTGTTATGATTATTAAATAATGAACTTTTTGTTGTAGATAGAATAATGACAGAAATTCTACCGATCGATTCATTAATGATTGATCGATGGACAAATCAATGGATGAAACAGCTTGGTTTTAATCATGAACAATTACTTAAAAGAAATACTAAAGTTGAACAATTTTCACGAGTTTGTGTTTTAAATTTAGTAATAAATTCTAAACGATTGAATTTTTTTTGTCTTTTTTAAAGTTTGTATTAGATCGTATACAAACAAAAAAATCAATAGATATAACAAAACGTGAACAATTATTACTTGAAACATTACGTGAATATGAACATCGATTAAGTCGAACAGGATTTGAAAATGATATTAGGGTAAGTAAATTTTAAACATTTTTTTCTAAACATTTATATCCTATATGAAATTTTGATTTCTAAAGGAAGAATTTGAAAATATGAAATTAAAACAAAAAGAATTATATATTGAAAAAAGACATCAAGAATTAGATTTAAAAGAAGAAAAATATATTAAAGAATTAGATCAATTATTTCAAAATGAACGTTCTTTATGTCAAATTTTAACAGTAACACAAATGGAAATTATTACAGGTTAATAAACATAATAAAAGAAATTTTTCGAAATATATTTATCTTTTTCATTTAGATGAAACTTTAGTTAAAAGAATTGAACGTTTACAAGATTATATAAATACATTAAACAAAATTAAAGTTTGTATTTTTAAAGAATAATATTATAAACTATTATGCTTTTAATTTAGACTGAACGACTTACAACAATTAAATCCTATCGAACTCGACTTAATGATTTATGTAATCGACTTGATGTTAAACCAGATAATTTATCTATAATATGTCAATTAATTGATGAGAAATATGAATCTTGTTTAACAACAGATTCTCTTGATCAAATCGAATCTTTTCTTAATAAAGTATATTCTAGTGAATAAAATTCATTTATTAATATTATTATTTTTTTTTCATGTAGCTTGAATGTAAATCTGAAGAACAAGAAAAATATGTCAATACACTTGTAGGAACCTTAGAAAAATTATATGCAAAACTTGCAAGAGATGATGCATCGCCACCAAAACGTTCAGCTGCGTATATTTTACGGCACAATACTGCAGAAACAGTGAAACAGGTATGGTTTTTTTTAAAGTAATTTCTTCTCTGCAAAGAAATTGTCCTAGTTGAGATGAGATTACAGTTGATATCTTTAGTATATCCGCAAAAAATTTCCTCTGCGATAGTTGTGAATAATGTCCTGTGGCTGCGTCGGATACCCAACACTCAGTCCGATCTGGCAATATATGAGATCTCGACGTTTCAAAATATTTTTACTTTTTCAAACTGCTATATTTGTTGAAGCATAGGAAAGTAAATCGGTTCGATCATGATTGAACAATTTATTGTACTTGAAAACAGGTCACAGAAGTGAAAAGCGATGTTGTTTTGCTAACAGAATTTCTTTTTAATGAAACTTCATCTACATGTGATGAGGAACCATACGACAAAGTAATTGAATACATGGAGAGGAGAATAAATAATTGGAAAAGGTGAATATGTATTATCGTGATGGAGACAGCAGTTATGTATGTATTCACAATTATGACGTTTGACAGCAACACTGAATTTCACTCCAGTATTATCAGCAAAAGGTAAACGTATACTTAGTGAAATTAATCGGATTTTAATAGGAGAAAGACGTCAAGTGAATCCTGAATCACTTGCTTTTTTGTGAATACTATGATTGTGAAAGTATCTGCCGGATGTTGATTAGCTCTGGTTGGGGACCTGGCACAGGTATTCAGATCCTGATATTAAAAAAAAAGTGCCGGTCCAGGTGTGAAAAATCGTACCCATGCAGAGCACTAGTTGTGAATCATGACAATTCAGAGTAGTCATATTAAGACAGGCATTGTTATCTTTCAAAAATATGACCGCCAAGGAATGTTTTAAGAAAGAATGAACAAAAATTAAAGCATCCGTCATTCTCTCTCTCTTTCCAGTGGAACCCATTGAGTCCAAAATTTTCGAATCCGGGACTAATCCAATGGGTTCTACTTTTCAGAATCTGTGTACCATGTTACAATGATTACATGTAACTAAAATCTGCTCATTTATAATGAAAATATCAGCATCATATTTCATACTGAAATTCTACACGAATTTTGCTATGTAAAATTCGATAGAATATCGAAAAAAATCTTTCGAATTTGAAAATTTCTTTGTAAACTAATCCTCTGAATTCTTCTTACCTCATCATACATTATCTAGTGTAACTCGTATTATTCTTTTTTCATTTACTTTAGCTAGAAAATGAAATTGCCCAATTACAAGCTAAAAGAATGGCTACTAGTCAAGCATATTGTGCAAGTATGCGAAAAAAGATTGAAGAACTTTATGAACAATGTCAAATAGGCGGTTCGGAACGTCGTCCTATTGATTTTGGTGAGACGAAAACATTATTTTTTTTTCTTTGTAAATTTATTTTCATAAATTAAATGTCTACAATATATAGAAAAAATAACACCTGCAATTCTTGATGAATGTGATCGAGAATATGATCGTTTGGATGATATGTATCATGTTCGAAAACCTATACTTGATGCTTTTGAACAATGGAAATTACTTGTACAACAACATAGTGAATTTCAAGTATGATTTGATTTTAATCTTCGTTTTATATTTTTAATCAATTTTTTTTATGAATAGAAAAAATCTACTTCAGCGGCACGTTTTCATGAACGTGGTTATTCCGCAGTAAAAGAACAAGCTGAACGCAAACGATTTGCTATTGCTTTACCAAAAGCTGAACGAACGTGTTTAAATATACTAGAACAATGGGAAAAAGAACATACAAATCAACAATTTTTGATTAATGATATTCCAATTCGTCAAATTATTGAACAACAACATATCGGCACATCAAATACAACAGCGACAACTGTTAGTAACCCTTCAACAACAGGTTTGAAAACGTCAACATCATCGATTGGTTTGACTGCTGTTCCTCAACGTACATTATCGAAAAATAATATTCGAAAAAAATCACTACGACATGTTGTTAAACATACAGTAGAACAACAAGTTAGCCAAAGTCATCATCATGAAGCTGATGAAGATACACTTGAATTTACTCAATTAGAAAATATTAAACATTTTAATGGGTTACCACGAGTAATATAATCAAAGGCTTATTTATTTATTTATTTGTTTCTTTTTTTATGTATTTAAGATTGTAACATCAACGCCTAAAACTGAAAAGATTAATAGCAATCATAGTGTTGTTGATATAGGTCGAAATAAAACTAATGATCCTATTCATAAACGCCGCCCATCTAAACGATTAGTATGTTATTATAGTATAAATAGATACATAATTTTATCTCTTGTTTTTAGATACCAACTCGTCGATGAACCTTTATTAAATGTTTATATTTCTTTCTCTTTATTAATACAAATTCTATAGATTATTTGTGGTTTTGAATTCATTTATGGATATATTTCTTTGGTTAAATTTGTCAGATTTTTTGATATTATAAATAAAAAGTCAGATATTTATCTATATAACAATGATTAATTGAACTTCGTTCTATTTGAAATAGTCATCGTTAATTCAAAAACAATCTAAAAGTAATCATTATTAATCAAATTAGTTCTATGTTTGGATTCATTTCTAAAAAAATTTTCATTTACCAATTTATGACTTTCAGATTATCATAATTTAGCAGCTATCCCCGTCATTAACACTATTCAAAAAAGTTCACATTCCTGGAAATTTTTTCACTCTGAGTAAACTATTTTTATTTGTATTTGTAGCTAAAACAACAGACCTCACGATGATGAAGTTTGTTTCTGGAAAGACTTATCACTAAAACATTATGGTAACATACTTAGCAACTTTTTTTAATAGACTCCTTAACAAAGCATGATTTTTACAACTTTGATAACAAACGAAGAAGATCCGTTGATGTCGAACTGTAGCTCAACCTTCGATAATATTTAAACGGCTAAGCCATCGTTGTTTAAAATAGTTGCTGAAGATTTTAGTCGACGTGATACAAAAATTTCTGATGTTCCAAATCAGTTTTTGAGGATGTTACCGTCTGGTTTTTTGTCAATAAGTTCTCTTTCATCATTTTCTCTCTTTTTCATTTCAAAATCTCTCCAAATTAAGAAAATTTTTTAACATGTATCAACAAATATCAGCGGCGATCGCTGATCAATGCATCGGCTTACATCTCTAATGATACTATCGGAATGGCCGGCAGGCCAGACTGAATATCATAAGGACAGATCAGGTCAGACTAAATTCACAAAGTAGCCTGAAGACCAAGCCAGACCAATTGTGTTTCTGATTTTGTGAATACGTTTAATTTTACAACTCTACATTAATCTATCATTCTACTTTCAGTTGTTCACTTAATTTATTTCCATAAAGATGATAATAATAAGTTCTTGTACGATGTAGTAATTAAAAGAGAAAGATAGTAATCATAAAATTTTTTCATCCAAGAAAGGCTTCAATTACTGCAATATCCCTGATCATATCAGCTCTGTTTTGCATTATCGAAAAAATGTAATCATGATAATTAAAACAACTTTTGACGACACATACAAACAAGCGGTAATAGAAAATACACAACGAAAATGTAGGAAATATGTGATACATATAAAAACTGGCAAGAACTTTTACATTTGACAATCAATTTTTGCCACAGGAGGATCGCAAAATCTACTATTCTATCATTTTGAATCTAAAACCGTTCTTGACCAGTGAACGTAAGCCCTATAATACTAAATTGACGTTTGGTTCAAAGAATCGTTGCTAGAATCGAATGGATTTGTTACTGTATTCTCAAATAATAAGACACTACATCAGCATTTGATATCCAAAATTTAGGAGCCAGGCCGCATATTATAAGGACAGATCAGACCAGGCTATAATTTCAAAATCTGACCTGGCAGGCAGCAGACCAGATCGACAGCTCTGGATATTACAATGATTTCCGCTTTTTAAAATAATATAGCAGTGTTCAACATGTAATAAAAGCATTGTTTAAAATAAATGACATTTATCAATGTAGAATATATGAAAACCTAAAAAAAAATATTTGATCGTTTTGTGCTCGAGAAATCTTCTGTTCAACTTTTGTCAAGCATGACCCTTCTTAATTGAACCAGGCGTACACGAAGAATCAGAGCGAGTTATCAAATTAAGTAGAAATTGTCATTGTTAACTACGGTTCAAAGATTTTTATTTCAAAATAAACTTACCTAATTATTTGATTATTTTTTAAAAACCGGCGTATTAATCAGTTTGATTTTGTTAATGCAATCATGTCACTTATTGATCTTTCTTCTAAACTCATGTTATATAAATTGAAGATTTCTTTACCAAATAGTGATTAAGATTTTAACTATAAATATTTTAGTTTTTCAAGTTATATTTATTCACATTCTATCTACATATATTAATATTTGTTTGGAATAAAAAATGATTTTTGTTCGAGTTTTTTTTTTAGTTCGTGATGTAGGATAGTATACGTTTACATTACTAGAAATAAAAGACTTAACATACAATGATAAACAAACATTTTTCATTTTTGATGCATGTAAGATTTCGAATTCAATGTACAACGAGAAACGAACAAGTGGAAAAAAAATGAAATAAATCGAAAAAATAGTACCTATAAAGAGTTAATAAAGACAAAAGAAACTGATCACTATGTTATAAGATATCTACATTGGCAACAAATGACAATCAATTAGTGTGTGTTTGTATACAGAACCGGAAAGAAAATGAATAATCTATTTATATAGGAATACATTTATGAATAAAGTTTATATGAATAGATATGGATTACAACCATTTGCATCAATCCATAACACTAAAAAAAAAAAGAAAAAATTAAAAATAGCATGAAATAACATAGAATATTCAAAGGATGGAGATCTATTCTTCTCAAAATTTATTTTATTCGAATTCTAAATATCTTATCAATGAAAATTTTGAGTTAATCTCTATGAAAATCTTAAACTTAGGGTGAGTTACCATTTGTCATAAATTCTAGTTTTCTGAATAAATTTATATTTGTAAATAAGTAAAAACTTAGTCAATCCTAGTAACCAAGTAGGGATGTTTTTTCGAAATAAGATATATTATACATAGGTCTATGACAGTTTACAGTTCTATAAGTCAATTCTTTTATAGAGAGCTGTGTTCAGTAACCAGTTCTTTTTCCGAGAATCCATTACAGCAATCACTTCTTTTTAAATGGACTGGTTCTGTCAGCAATGCTAGTCTAGCGATCATATTCAATAGTTGTTCTAGCAACCAAAACATAAGAACTCGTCACCAAGATTGACCAAATTATTATTTATCCACAAATGTGGATTTATTCAGAGATTTGATTTGGGGAAACAAAATTTGTGGCGAATGATAGGTATTCCAAACTTAGAACTTGTCTCGATAAGAACGCAAAACTTAAATTGAATTAAAATTTTTTCATTCATTGAATTTCGTTTATCGATAAGTAAAACAAATAATGATTGAACTATTATAAATTGGATTAAATGTAAATAGAATTCTTCTCTCAAAATCTTCATTCATATACCAAAAGATAGAAAACGTCAAGCTTTACAAAACTAAGAACTTCACTTTTAAAAATCATATTTTGCCTTCGCATGACAATTCACACATTTACATATTCTATGCACTCTCATTGCGACGCATTGTTTCTCGTGCTTTGTAAAAGTATGAAGGATCTCGAAAGCAAAAAGTTTATATCAACAGATAGAAAATTTTGTTCTCTATTTGACTCATCCAATTTTGAATATCCAAGTTTCACTAGGAAGTTGAAAATATCCTTCAGGGTAATTTTTTAAGTAATGAAGTTGTTTTTTTAGAGTTAAACTTCAATTGCAAAGTCTTTATTTGGACACCAAAACTATGTAGAATTTTGTTTGCTACAAGACTACGTGGTCCGATGAATCGTAGTACAACATGTTTTCACCAAAATTCATGATAAACTGAGCAAGCCTCAAAATCGATGTAAAGTTGTGTTTTCTTTTTCATTTATTGTGTTCTGAAGTTTTGCTTGAAGTTATCATTTAAAGTTTTGATATTCGTTTGTATTTAATTACGCAGTAGGAATATACAATTAGAGTTCGACGATTCCAAAAATTAATCGGAACCGAAATCGTTAAATCATCAGATAGATACGAAAATTTCAAATATATTTTAAGAAATCTTCAGTATTGAGTTGTTGAGATTAAACACGTCACATATTTGAGTACTTAAATAAAGCAATATTATTCATATACTGAAATTTTTAATCTCAGGAATGAAAAAATGAAGATTTCTCGACATAGATTTAAGAATTTTTGTATCTACCAAACGAATTCGTTAACTTATTCATCATGAATATTATGTAAATCCTTGATTATCTAAAAATTGCATCTATTCCTAAATGATACTCTTTTTTTTTTAATTGTATGCATTGTTTCATTCTTTTTCGAATATGTATTAAAACTCATCTTCTATTTGTTTTCTCTGATATCTTACCCTTCAAATGTCAAATAATTATTCAATTCTAATGATTCATCTTCTTCATTATCTTCATCATTTGTTGATGTTTTACAATCAGCTCGACATGTAAGAAAAAGAACACGACGAAGTTTCTTATTATGAAAAAAGAAATTAAATGACCAAATAATTCCATTTTCAGAAAATGGATCCGATGTTCCATCAGGACGATAACTATTGTTTCAAAAAGAAAAAACAAAAACAAAATTAATTATCATTTTTTCTTCTCAAATTATTTAATTACCTAAATATTTCACTTTCTTTTATATTGATTTCTTCATCAATTACTGACCATAATTTTGATGATAACGATCGATAACAATCACCCATCACTGATATGAATCGTGAATCAACAGCATTTTTAACCAACTATAGTCAAATATAAGGAAATAAAATTATCTTTAACAGACGGCAACACACCTCTAAATTAGTCTCACGACTAAAATCTTGACTTGTACAAGAACTAAATTCATAGTCCGGCTGAAATGATGCGTTTAATGTTGATATAAGAAAAATAAGAGTTTTTCGTGAAATTGTTTTATTTAACGGTGATTCATCATCACTTGATATTGATCGAGCCATTGGATTTGTTTGAATAACTTGTGTTGGAGAATTTAATAAACTATAATTATATATAGGTGATTGTGTTTGTGAAGGACCAAGAATTTCAAGATCATGCGGTGATGTCCCAGGTTCATTTCGTAATTGTTTATATAATTTTTTTGGATCACCAGCCATTTTACATGAATAACTTTCCACACTAATTTAATAAAAAAAAAAAAGAAGATAATTAAATAAAAATATAGATTGATTTACTTACCGAGTTGTG